CTGTTCAAAGTGTAACAGTGCTCTAAATATTACCACAAGGTACTAAACCTATGTGCAAAATCTGCAGTTACAAAAATGTGCAACCCGTGTACTCCCAAATGGGAATAAAGTGCAATTAGTGACAATCGAAATCACTGCAAACATCTGTTGTAAAAAAATAAGTCCATAAGGAAAAAATAAAGTGTCCAAATACAACATAAGAAACTCTCAGTCTTCATGCATGTGATCACACGTGTCCACACTGTGTGAATCCAAACAATAGCTGTAATGGCCCCTCACCTCCTTGCCAAGACCCCACAGGGTCAGCTCGCTTCAAAACAGGACACCACTCTGATGACTCACCAGGTCCTCCCCCGCCTCTTACACTCTATCAGCAGTCTCCTCCTCAGTTCATATATAAACAAAAGACTCACATACTGTAATCCTGTTTATTCTTCCAAAATAGATATATAATAAAATTGCCCACTCACATTTAAATTCTTCTCCTCACAAGCCTTCAATACCCCATGCTATGAATCTCCTGCATGGGTATTTAGATACAGGGATTTCAAGTATGGCTGCCACGCCGGAAATGACGTCACCGCGCTCCCAGAATCCTCCTCGCATTCCGACGCTTTGCGTCACGATAACATGTGACTTCCTCAGGGCAAATTGAATCGTTCAGATTTCTTTAATCTGTTTAACCACTTGCCCTCCTGAGGATTTACCCCCCTTCATGACCAGGCCATTTTTTGTGTTACGATGCTGCATTACTTTAACTGACAATTGTGCGGTCATGCAACGCTGCACCCAAATTAAATTTTCCCACTAATTGAGCTTTCTTTCTGTGGTATTTGATTGCCTGTGTGCTTTTAATTTTTTGTACTATAAGCAAAAAAAGACCAACAATTTTGAGAAAATAACTATATTTTGGACTTTTTGCTATTAAACATGTCCAGTAAAAAAATTTATAAAATCAAATTTCGTCATAAATTTAGGCCAAAATGTATTCTGTGATGTGTCTTTGCTAAACAAAATCCCAATACGTGTAAATTAATTGGTTTACATTAAAGTTTTTACAAATGGCGATATAGATAATGGGATTTTATTTTATTTTTTTTTCTACTGGTAATGGTGGCGATCAGCAACTTTTAGCGGAACTGCGGCAGACATTTTGACACTGGGGGGGGGAACTAACTTGGTGTCACTGACACCCCCAGTGACACCAATACAGTGATCAGTGCTAAAAAAGAAAAGCACTGACACTGTACTAATGGCACTGGGCAGGAAGGGGTTAATCTGAGGGGCGATCAAAAGATGTGATGGGAGTGTTTTACTAGGGGGCAGGGGGTGTATTCTTCACTGTAAGCACACTGATCGGAATGGCTGTACTATGCACAGCCATCCCGAGCAGTGTGCTTGAGCTGATAGGGAGGCAGATGGTTCAAACAAAACAATCTTCCTCCCCGTCGGAGATGCTCAGTAATCACCGGGTGCTGGCGGGTAATTACCGGGCGGGACCCGGTGATTGACATCCGCGGCTACGAGTGGCGGTGCAGGTAGGGCACGCGCATGTGCCCCCCTGCCCGGAAATGCAAACTCACGTATATATATGTGATTTTGCACAGAGTTGCCACCCTGTAGCATTATATCTGCTATAGGGCAGTCCTTAAGCGGTTCACAGTGTTGAAATGTTTTCTCGCACACTAAAAACATGCTCAGGTACTGTGGAGCAAACAGGGAGTAGTGCATCTAACTTCACTGTTCAGTCTGTTGAGAAAACACACATAAAACTTCCCACTCTCATTGAATGTGACATGACGCTCGATGACAGGTCAGAAATACCAACCCCTGAGATTACATAGCATTTGCAACATCTGAAATCCTTAACCGATAAGATCCCCGCAATTGACCCTAATGCCCAAATACTCCTCTTGGAGATATATTCTCACGGTACACAAGCTGAGCAGATGAATGGACCTCATAATGCTCCTCAAGCACAATGTTTAGATTTAGGTTGGGTCATAGTTGTAGAAGTATGCTTAGGTGGACTCACACACCAGCAGACCTGAACTCATTTAAGACAAACGTGCTGCCTAATGGGCGCTATTCTGAATTCAGCTATATGCTAGTAAAAGAGATCTTTAATGCTTGCGAACTATGGCCACCAACTACAGCGGCTAACCATTATTAGGACAGCATAACATTGCTCCAGTGAGCATTGGATGGGCAGAGCAGACTGAGAGTCACTGGCTCTCTGCTCACTGGAGACCAAGAACTGAGTGATCAGGGGTCTTTGATCAATCTGTTCTGAGTTTTAGAAGTGGCGGAAGGCAGATGCAGCATCGGACCAATGTTGCATCCACCTAGGTATAAATATAGCTAAAGGTTTTTAGTGGGTCTTGTTAGAAGTTTAACCACTGATTATATTTGTAGATTAAAATTTATGGTGCAGAATTGTACTCTGATGGTGTGCCTCAATTGCAGATATCTATAAATCTATATACTATAAACTTTTGCAGCACTCCTCCAACAGAAGTTCTAGCTACAATCCCCAAATGTCTGTAGTTATAACACAGAGTTAAACAGAGCATCATGGGTTGTTCAGCCAGCAAGCCCAGGTGTTTAGGCAGGCATTATATTGGTTCTTATTTTGATATTGATGGTACAGATGTCAATCTTTGATATATTTAGGAACCCTAACGGGTAACTCCACTTTCCTGGGGAAAAAAGTAGCAAGTAAAAAAAAAAAAAAAAAAAATTATATATATATATATATATATATATATATATATATATACAGTGGGGATCGAAAGTTTGGGCACCTCAGCTAAACATTTGTATTAATGTGCATAAAGAAGCCAAGGAAAGATGGACAAATCTCCAAAAGGCATCAAATTACAGATTAGACATTCTTATAATATGTCAACAAAAGTTAGATTTTATTTCCATCATTTACACTTTCAAAATAACAGAAAACAAAAAAAATGGCGTCTGCAAAAGTTTGGGCACCCTGCAGAATTTATAGCATGCACTGCCCCCTTTGCCAAGCTGAGACCTGCCAGTGTCATGGATTGTTCTCAATCATCGTCTGGGAAGACCAGGTGATGTCAATCTCAAAGGTTTTAAATGCCCAGACTCATCTGACCTTGCCCCAACAATCAGCACCATGGGTTCTTCTAAGCAGTTGTCTAGAAAACTGAAACTGAAAATAGTTGACGCTCACAAAGCTGGAGAAGGCTATAAGAAGTTAGCAAAGCGTTTTCAGATGTCAATATCCTCTGTTTGGAATGTAATTAAGAAATGGCAGTCATCAGGAACAGTGGAAGTTAAAGCAAGATCTGGAAGACCAAGAAAAATATCGGACAGAACAGCTCGCAGGATTGTGAGAAAAACAATTCAAAACCCACGTTTGACTGCACGATCCCTCCAGAAAGATCTGGCAGACACTGGAGTTGTGGTACACTATTCCACTATAAAGAGATACTTGTACAAATATGGTCTTCATGGAAGAGTCATCAGAAGAAAACCTCTTCTACGTCCTCACCACAAAAATAATCGTTTGAACTTTGCAAATGAACATATAGACAAGCCTGATGCATTTTGGAAACAAGTTCTGTGGACCGATGAGGTTAAAATTGAACTTTTTGGCCAGAATGAGCAAAGGTACGTTTGGAGAAGAAGGGGCACAGAATTTAATGAAAAGAACCTCTGTCCAACTGTTAAGCATGGGGTTGGATCAATCATGCTTTTGGGTTGTGTTGCAGCCAGTGGCACAGGGAACATCTCACGAGTAGAAGGAAAAGTGGATTCAATAAAATTTCAGCAAATTTTGGATGGTAACTTGATGCCATCTGTGAAAAAGCTGAAGTTAAAGAGAGGATGGCTTCTACAAATGGATAGTGATCCTAAACATACCTCGAAATCCACGGGGGATTACATCAAGAGGCATAAACTGAAGGTTTTGCCATGGCCTTCACAATCTCCTGACCTCAACATAATTGAAAATCTATGGATAGACCTTATAAGAGCAGTGCGTGACAGACAGCCCAGAAATCTCAAAGAACTGGAAGACTTTTGTAAGGAAGAATGGGCAAAGATACCTCAAACAAGAATTGAAAGACTCTTGGCTGGCTACAAAAAGCGTTTACAAGCTGTGATACTTGCCAAAGGGGGCAGTACAAGATATTAACTCTGCAGGGTGCCCAAACTTTTGCAGACGCCATTTTTTTGTTTTCTGTTATTTTGAAAGTGTAAATGATGGAAATAAAATCTAACTTTTGTTGACATATTATAAGAATGTCTAATCTGTAATTTGATGCCTTTTGGAGATTTGTCCATCTTTCCTTGGCTTCTTTATACACATTAATACAAATTTTTAGCTGGGGTGCCCAAACTTTCGATCCCCACTGTATATATATATATAATATATATATATACACACTATACAATTGTGACACAAGTCACATTGTAATTGAATGTTATTAAAAATTACCTTTCCTTTTCAATCTGCAGAGCTGTAATTTTCTGTAAAATACAAAGCAAGGAGGTGTTCTGTACACAGATGGTATACAGAATGCCCCTCAAAATGTCATTTCCTGGTTGTGTGATTGGCTTACCTATTCCCTTGTCTGTACTAAGATGCAAGTCAGATTTTGGGCATCCCCTGTAACAACAATGTAATTTTTCATGAGATACTCCCAAAGGGAAACCATGTCTAAGTGCTGGTTTACACTGATGCAGTGCAGGATGTGATTTTTACAAGACGCACACTGCATTCATGTTCAAATCACATGCAATTCTTTGCTGTTCGATTTTAGTCCATTCATTTTGCATGAAATGGTGCATGCACCTTTTTGTTTTGCACACTGGAATTGGATCACATGGATGTTCACACCCATACAATCCTGCGCAGCCAATCGCACTGCATTTGGAAGGGTAAATTTCCCATCTGGTGACCCTGGCAATCCAGGATTCACTCACTTTGGAGAGATTTTATCTCTCATCCTGTGTTGGCTGTGGGACTGAAAGAGAATGGAAATCTCCCCAATGGGACACAGATGGCAAAAAATAAACTGACAGGCAGGGTGGACTGACAACTCATGGGGCCCCTGGGCAATAGGGGATCATGGGGCCCCTGTGTCCTTGCCCAAACTCAAAAAAGCCTATGAAAAAGGTACCAGGGGCATCTCATGGGGCCCCCTACTGACACCAGGCCCTCGGGCAGCGCCCGAGTTTCCAAATGGTCAGTCCGCCCCTGCTGACAGGCGATACAACCCTTCCTTACTCTATTCAAAAAGAAAAAAGTTTTGCCTTTAGTTCTATTTAAAGGGAAATTGAAAAAAAGAACAGACTTACTGGCTGCATCACCAGGTGAAAATAAAGGAAAAAAAGCCTTAAAGCACTATTAAACCCAAAAACAAAAATGTATTATATTGCAGCTTACCAAACCTTAGATGTGGTGGCTGCAATAGTTTTCTTTTTAAGGCTTTTCCTTCTCTTTTCACCTGGTGATCTGGCCAATAACACACCTCCTGTATTAGAGTGACTCCACTCTGTGTGAAGGAGCACAAGGGGCACTTTTGGACAGCGCGTCAATGTTGATCTTGGGGGAGGATAGTGTTAGATGCACTAGCAGATTTTGATACACTAACAAATTGAAGCCAAACTCTGCTAATACTTTCTAAGCAGCTATAGCCAACAGGTTTTGTTTTCCTGTTGGGATAAAGGTTTTACATACAAAAAATAAAAGCTCACTATTATAGGCACCCCTGTCAGTAGTAACAGGTTTGTTTCATCCAGTAGGACAACTTGTTCTGTTAAAAAACAGACTAAGGCTACGGTCAAATCTATGTGGGTGCAGGACTGCTTGTAAATCGCAAGCATTTCCACACCTGCTGCAAAACACACTGCTGTTTACCAGACACATGGGGGTACCATTACTTGTTAATGACACTTCCACACATTGGAAATGGCAGCATATTTTTCCATTCACAGAAACACTTAGCACCATGTGGTTTCCATGCGGCTGCAATTTTAGAAAAGGTGCGGCAACTGGTAGCGAGTAACTCTTAAGTCCTGGCTAGTAGCTCAGGACTTGAAATTTTTGAGGCCTGCATTACACTCTACTGTATACATTAGATGGGAACCAACGAGTTGAACAAAAAAAAAGCCTGACAGATCCTCGCATCAACACAAGTGCCTTAACACGCCGATTGTATGCTGGTTTTCCAGCAGGACCATTCGACAGAAACCAGTCGTTATACTGGTTTCTGTTAAACAGACAGTGATACACATGTACTAAAAGTTGGTTGGTTCGGACTTTTTGTAGGTGTGTACCCAGCTTTAGGCTGGCACCATATCTTTGTGTTTCAGTTTAAGGGTAGATTTATGTGTGCGTCTAAACCTCCCTTTCCTCTGAAGCCTGAACTGTGTTTGGATCATTCTTCAGAGGCTACTGACAGGCAGTCAGGAAGCAATGTGAGGCCTCCTCATCACCTGTTTTAACCCCATTCTTTCCAACCAACGCGTCGCAATCACTTGCACTGCACATGTTTGTGGTGCTTCCGCAGTTACATGAGTGTGTAGTGTTCGGTGGGCTTGCTGTCCAATTGCTACATGTCGGGTAAACTTTTCCGCATGCACAAAGGAGAGCGACATGTAAACACCCCCGTCTACTCCCTATTACACCTTGTTTCTCCCAGTCCACACACTAAAATATGTACACACGGATATGCGTCACTATCCGCAATTTGTTTGGAATGAACTACGCCTCAACACAGCCACGTGGTATGAAAAGGGCACACAGTAAACAATTGTTTTCTCTGTGCCCTTGTGTTGATCTATGCAGCCTAAAGAATTTGGTGTGAACAAGCCATTACTTGCTGGAGAAGTCTCCCTATTGAAATATTCATCTTTACACTTCCCTCCACAGCCTACAGTCTCACTCCTCCTCCTGCAGTTACAGGAATCACAATATCATACCTCAGTGGCATGCATCAGTGTCCGTTATCTGAAGGCTGTAAACAATCACACTAACACCCCTGGGGAGTGCCAGGAGAAAGGGAAGAGATCTCATTTATGGTGGCCAAACACACGTATGATAAAACTGACAGATGGATGTCTAATTTGACAACATGATTAAACTGGAGATTGTATGAACAAAAAAAAATGACATGGACGAGCAATAACCAACAGATGCTGATGGTTTTGACTGATCCACTTCATACAATCTCCATCTACAAACTGGAGATTGTATGAACAAAAAAAAATGACATGGACGAGCAATAACCAACAGATGCTGATGGTTTTGACTGATCCACTTCATACAATCTCCATCTACAAACTGGAGATTGTATGAACAAAAAAAAATGACATGGACGAGCAATAACCAACAGATGCTGATGGTTTTGACTGATCCACTTCATACAATCTCCATCTACAAACTGGAGATTGTATGAAAAAAACAAAATGACATGGACGAGCAACAACCAACAGATGCTGATGGTTTTGACTGATCCACTTCATACAATCTCCATCTACAAACTGGAGATTGTTAGAACAACACAAAATTACATGGATGAGCAATAACCAACAGATTCTGATGGTTTTGACTGATCCACTTCATACAATCTCCATCTACAAACTGGAGATTGTATGAACAACACAAAATGACATGGACGTGAAATAACCAACAGATTCTGATGGTTTTGACTTATCCACTTCATAAAATCTCCATCTACAAACTGGAGATTGTATGAACAACACAAAATGACATGGACGTGCAATAACCAACAGATTCTGATGGTTTTGACTGATCCAAGTTGTGACGGAAAAAAAAAAAAATTGGTCAATGGAGTTTTATAACTCCTTTGTGAATCTCTTATGTAAAGACACAAAAAACACCATCAATCAACCCTGTAGGATCATTTTGTTTTCCCCACAATCAATTGACTTGGGCGATCTAAACCATCACTATTGCTCAGCCATGTCAGTTTTGTTTTGCTTGCTTCAAAGTTTGGTTGATTCAGACATTGATTGCTCAGTTTATGACACTGGTATGGTCACCATTAAAGCTCATTCATGCTAAAATGCCTGAAGGCTGGTGTATGTTGTGTGGGGTTGGTGCTTTACGCTTTTTTTTAACTTTATGGAAATGTCACAAAATGACACTTCATTCAAGTCTATACACTGCAGTGCAATGTGAAGTGCTGTGCAAAAATGCTGCATTTTTTGGCAACTTACCTTATGGTGTGAACAGAGCACATAGAACAGGACCCAGATGTGCTCTTATGTTGAGTCTGAATCTATGCAGATCAATGCAGCCCAATGGAGATAGTGTGAACAAGCCACTCACACCAGCAGGTGTATATTATGCTCTGAAGAAAGTGGCAAACCCAGATACTACTGCGCTTAGGGATGGACTCTGCATGGATAGGACCACATCACAAGTTTCTTGGGATATGCATGCCTTGCTGCCCTCAAAAGACTGGGGAAGTCCACATATATGAGTAGAGATAAAAACAAACAGAGGGCGCACTGGCCTAGTGCATTACCTTTTAAAAAAATGTTTTTAATAATGATAAAAGTAGGTATTATACTCACAAAATGCCAATACAGTCAAGGGTACATCATGAAAGAACCGCTTTGTCCAATCCTCACTACGTGTCAGTCCGTAATGGGAACTGTGGACCTCCAACAGGCTGATGTGTTTCGAGGACTTGCCTTGACTTGGCTCTGAGGAAGAGGCAAGTCCTCGAAATGCGTCAGCCTGTTGGAGGTCCAGAGTTCCCATTACGGACTGACACGTAGTGCGAATTGGACAAAGCGGTTCTTTTGACTGTATTGACATTTTGCGAGTACTTTTATCATTATTAAAAACATTTTTTTAAAAAGTAATGCACTAGGCCAGTGCACCATCTGTTTGTGTATATTATGCTCTGTATGATGCTCACTTGCTGGTGTGCAATGTGTAGAGGTAGTATGAGGCTTTGTTAACCACTTGCCCTCCAGAGGATTTACCCCCTTTCCTGACCAGACCATTTTTTGAGATATGGCGCTGCATTACTTTAACAAACAATTTTGCGGTCATGCAACACTGTACGTAAATAAAATTTATGTCCTTTTTTTCGCACAAATAGAGCTTTCTTTTGGTGGTATTTTTTCTCTATAAACAAAAAAAGACTGACAATTTTGAAAAAAAAAAACCTATATTTTTGACTTTTGCTATAAAACATATCCAGTAAATTTTTTTTTTTAAAATCTAATTTCTTCATAAATTTAGGCCAAAATGTATTCTGCTACATGTCTTTGCTAAAACTAAATCCTAATATGTGTAAATTAATTGGTTTACGTGAAAGTTATAGTGTCTACAAATGGCGGTATATATACTGCAATTTGTTTTTCATACTAGTAATGGCGGCGATCAGCGACTTTTAGTGGGACTGCGACGGGCATTCTGACACTGGGGGGAACTGACTTGGTGTCACTGACATCCCCAGTGATACTAATACAGTGATCAGTGCTAAAAAAAAAGCACTGACACTGTACTAATGGCACTGGGCCGGGAAGGGTTAACATCTGGGGCGACCAAAGGGTTAACTTTGTGCTGTTTTACTGTGTGTGTTGTATGTGATTTACTGTGGTAAGCATGCTGCTTTGTATTGCTGTGCTATGCAGAGCAATACAAAGCAGTGTGCAGGAGCTGACAGGGGAGAGATCTGTTTTGTTTACATACTGATCTCTCCTCTGTCAGTGTTCTTCGGTGATCGCTGAGTGCCAGCAGGGAATCTCCGCCTGGGACCCAGTGATCTACAGCTGTAGGTGCCAATTTTATTTATATTTTTTTATACTAGTGATGGCGGCAATCAGCGACTTATAGCGGGACTGCGGAACTGCAGCTGGCATTCGGACACTGGGTGGGAACTGCCTAACTGTCACTGACATTCCAATGACACTAATACAGTGATCAGTGCTAATAAAAAAGTACTGACACTGTATTAATGATACTGGGCAAGGAGGGGTTAGCATGTGGGGTGATCAAAGGGTTAACTGTGGGCTGTGTGTGTTTTACATTATGTGCTGTGTGTGTTTTACTAGGGGGACATGCTGCTTTGTATTTCTCTGCTGTGCAGAGAAATACAAAGCAGCATGTCCTTGCTGGCAGGAGAGAGACATATGTTGTTTACACACAGGTCTCTCCCCTGTCAGCTTTTCCCGACAATTGCCGGGTGCTGGCGGGGAATCTCTGGCCGGGACCCGTAGATTGACATTCCTAGCCACCAATAGAGGTGTGGGTAGTGCGGTGAGCGCATGCTACCCAGGAATGCAAATCACATATATATACGTAATTTTGCTCAGCCCTACTGCCCTGTAGCAGTAGTTCTACTATAGGGTGGGCTGGGAAAGCGGTTAAAATTAATCCCACTTGTTTTTCTTAAAGGGTTAGTTCACATTTACCAAAATACTGCCTATGCAGGTAAGGGGCGTCTTAGATAAGAACAAACTGTGCAGCTCTGATTATAGTTGAAAAATCTCCATGCTATAGGTGTAGGCCATTTATGTACCTCATGAAGCCTGACTGGCATACTACCAGGATGTTGCTAAGTGAGGCCTAGTCATTACTGCTCACTTCCTCTATCACAGGAGTGAGCTCTCAAACGATGGACTCAGAGCTATTACATCAGGGGAGAGAAAGTACATATGAGCTGATTTGAATCAGAGAAAAGGCTCACTCCTGTGATGGTGGAGATGAGCAGTGAAGACTAGGTCTCACTTAGCAACACCCTAGAAACTTCCTGGAAGCTTTCCAGTCAGGCATCGGGAGGTATGCAAATGGCCTACATCCAGGGTTTTTTTTTCCAGCGGGAACGCAGGGAACGCAGTTTCGGCACCTCCAGCACTGAATGTATGTAATCGCAAGGGGTGCTGGAGGATCTATTGTTGCTGGCACCTGGGTGAATCTATGGTCACTGAAGGGGATCTATTTCTGTGTGGTGGTCTATTGTTGCTGTGGAGGTCTATTGTTGCCGGTGGGGGGTCTACTGTTGATGGGGGGTCACTTGTTGCTGGAAGGGATCTACTGTTGAGGCAGAGGTCTATTGTTGCTGACTGCTGGAGAGTCTATTGATGCTGACTGCTGAGAGATCTGTTGTAGCTGCTGGGGGTATATTGTTGTTGGGGTGGTATTTTGTTTTTGGGGACCAATTGTTGCTGGAGAAATCTATTGTTGCTGGGGAGGTCTATTGCCGCTGAGTGTGTGTGTGTGTGATGTGGTCTATTTTTCTGCTTTTTTTGTTATCAATAACAAATACCTTACAAATGATTTAGCACCACAAAATTATACTTGTCTCTGTATTCTCTAAAAGGAGAGGTGGGTTGGGAGTGGAACCAAGTGAAGGTGCTCAGAGGTGGGTAGGGGTGGAACCAAGTGAAGATGCTCGGAGGCGGGTAGGGGGGGGGACCAAGTGAAGGTGCTCAGAGGCGGGTAGGGGGTGGAACCAAGTGAAGGTGCTCAGAGGTGGGTAGGGGGTGGAACCAAGTGAAGATGCTCAGAGGTGGGTAGGGGGTAGAATCAAGTGAAGGTGCTTAGAGGCGGGTAGGGCGGTAGGGGGTGGAACCAAGTGAAGGTGCTCAGGCGGCGGGTAAGGGGTGGAACCAAGTGAAGGTGCTCAGAGGCGGGGGTAGGGAGTGGAACCAAGTGAAGGTGCTCAGAGGCAGGTAGGGGGTGGAACTATTTGAAGTTGCTCTGAGATTGGTATGGGGGGGCGGAGATAAGAAGTGACTCAGAAGGGGGGAGTCCCTGCACCTATTTTTTGAGAAAAAAAGCCCTGCCTACACCTATATTAAGGGAATTATTGAACTTTAGCCAGAGCTGCACAGTTTGTTTTTGTCTACAATCACTCCTTCCCTGCATAGGCAGTTTTATTCTAAGCCCGGGTTCAAACTGATGTGATTTCTGATGTTTTCCATGGAGTCCGTTTACATATATTCAGTGCAATTCTGATGAGATTTAAACAAACTGTAAAACCCGGATTTCCTGCACCGTGTTCTGTGAAGGGCAGTGAACATTTGTAAAGTTCGAAGCATTCGATCTTGCCATCGATAAGTTAACAAACTATGTTTGAAAGCCCTTAAAATGGAGATAGGTGTTTCCGGAACTGTGATCTACATGGGGACGTATTGCACATTTGGTTGTTGTGCTCGCGATTGATAGGCTTCTGGTCTAGGGTTTTTGGTTTGCTACAAACGCTATTTCATATTACGGTCCGTAGGGATGCAAGGCTGGCTCTACTGCACTGCCCAATTTTTGGTCTGTCTAGGTCTCAGCAAAAATTGGCATCCTACCTATTTATTTTGGCCAAACGAGCTATAGCTCAAGCTTGGAGAACCCCTTCGGTTGTCTTCCAGGGGGTGAAGACGCGGATGAATGCTATATTGATCAACGAACAGATGTCTAGCATTCTTCATGATTCTCATCCGAGATTCCTTAAGGTTTGGGAACCTTGGATACGTTATTCCTTGCCATCCCTGCCTCTTACCAGTTATGGCTTCTTATAGTTGCTGCCTGTGCTAGCCCTGGATCCGTTACTCTTCTAGTTTTTCTTTCCTCCATGTTTTCTTTCTGATTCTTTTTTTTTTCTCTCTCTTCTTCTTTCCTCTTCTTTTTCCGGGACTATGTTGGATTACTGCTGCTATTATTTGGTTCGGTTTTTAGCCGTCCCTCCTTGATGTCATTGGACATTCTGCTATTTGGCTAATACAAGTCAGCAGGATGTATCTAATTATGTGTTATTGTTCTGCTCTGCCCGTGCGTGGGTGTATCTTGAGCTTGTTGTATTTTTAAAACAAAACTTTCTTAATAAAAATATTGAAACAGAAAGCCCTTAAAATTTCATCCACTACCTGCTTCTGGAATTTTATGCCGCCCATACATGGATCGAAATCTGAACGATTGATCAAAAATCAAATATTTAGTGCCTTTTTGGAATCCGATGATGAAACCATTGATTTCAAAATTCAACCAACCAATCCTTCAATTTCACCTCATGTTGTTACAGAAAAGAAATTTCATGGCTGGGAACCTTCTTTTCTTTCCTGGTCACAGCTCATGCGCATTTTCTTTTTCGATTATATTTTTCGCAAAATTCTCCCATCACTGATTAGAAATTTGTTTGTTTTTCAAAAATATTTCCAACGTGGCTGACCACTCAAGTTTGATGGCCGCGCATAAATCAGCTGTTGCTGCAGCCCCACTAATGGTCAAAATTCAAATGATAATTCAAAATTATTAATTTTTAAAAATAAAAATTGTTCAGAAATTCTCCTATGTATGGCTGGCCTTAGTAGAGGGCTGTGGTGTACATGTCTCTCTGGGGTGGTCTTGCTGGTTCTTTCTGGTTTGAGTTGCAAGTCCCCTGCTGTGCTGCTAAGGAGATTTACCTCAGTTGCTGAGCAGATCTTCAGTCAGCTCTGAGCACTGGATCGGTGATAAGTCTTTTGGCGGGAAAAAGCTTGCCAATGACTGTAACCTTTCACTTGTATATCCTCTCCTGTCTCTGGGCAGTGTCAGAAAATACCTCAGGTCTGTCCTCAGCTCTGGGTTCCTTCCTTTTGGATCTGACCTGCTCCCCCAGCCATTTTTCTCGCATCATGGTCCAACTTTATGAGGTAATGTCATCCACTTTGTGGGTGGCCAGTGGTTGGTAAACTGTTATTTGGTTGGTGTAAGATATTACTTATTGAGTCTTAGTGACTAAACATGCTCTGTTAACCGCTTCCCCGCCGCCCTATAGCACAAATACTGCTACAGGGCTGCGCAAAATCACATATATATATATATATATACGTGATTTTGCATTTCCAGGTAGGGGGCGCGTGCACTGCCTACCCTCACCGCCATTGGCACCTACAGCTGTCGATCACTGGGTCCCAGACGGAGATTCCCCGCTGGCACTCAGCGATCACCGAAGAACACTGACAGAGGAAAGATCAGTATGTAAACAAAACAGATCTCTCCCGTCAGCTCCTGCACACTGCTTTGTATTGCTCTGCATAGCAGAGCAATACAAAGCAGCATGCTTACCACAGTAAATCACACACAGCACACACAGTAAAACAGCACAAAGTTAACCCTTTGATCGCCCCAGATGTTAACCCTTTCCGGCCCAGTGCCATTAGTAGTGTCAGTGCTTTTTTTTTTTTTAGCACTGATCACTGTATTAGTATCACTGGGGATGTCAGTGACACCAAGTCAGTTCCCCCCAGTGTCAGAATGCCCGTAGCAGTCCCACTATAAGTTGCTGATCACCGCCATTACTAGTATGAAAAACAAATTGCAGTATATATATACCGCCATTTGTAGATGTGTTAACTTTCACGTAAACCAATTAATTTACAAGTATTGGGATTTTTTAAGCAAAAACATGTAGCAGAATGCATTTTGGCCTAAATTTATGATGAAATTTGATTTTTAAACATTTTTTCTTTATAGCAAAAAGTCAAAAATATAGTCGTTTTTTCCCCCAATTGTCGGTGTTTTTTTTTTTTTATAGAGCAAAAAATTAAAAATGAAGAGGCAATCAAATACCACTGAAAGAAAGCTCCATTTGTGGGTAAAGAAAGGACATAAATTTCATTTGGGTGCAGCGTTGCATGACCGCGCAATTGTCAGTTAAAGTAATGCAGCGCCGTATCGCAAAAAATGGCTTGGTCAGGAAGGAGGTTAAATCCTCTGGAGGGCAAGTGCTTAATGGTTAACAGCAGTTCTGTTTGGTACTAAAGGTTATTTCATAATTAAACCCAATAAAGGGATGAGGCCTAAACTTTCCCATAATCCTCGTCATATATTTACTCTATTACTTACAGTAGGTACGTTGCTATGAGGTGTACAATCCCATGGAATCCTAGATGTATTACGCTGGCAACTGTTGCTGAATTGCCTTCTGAAAAGCAGTCCACTATTGATCACTTTTCTCCTAGAAAAGGTATCACTCTGTCCTACCTTGTTGCTAGGACGTTGCTAAGAGACTTCCAATTCTCAGTGTTCACTTCCACCATCAATCCTCTTTCTCTGATTCAACCCTCATCGAGTGCGCTTTCTCTCCCCTATGCTGTAGGTCTGAGCTCAGGGTTTGTGAGCTTGTTTCTTTGATGGTAGGAGTGAACAGCAACATCTGGGCCTCTCTTAGCAACGTCCTAGCAACAAGGCAGGATGGGATAATACTATCTCTGGGAGTTTTTCAGTCATGTTTCAGGAGGTACAGATATAACCTATACCTATACAAAGGGCATAATCCAACTTTGCTGCACAGCTTGTTATTTACAGACGTCCCTTACTAGACATGTGCATGCTGTAAATTGTATTTTTGTTGTGAATGATTCGTTCATTAATGAATTTTGTTTTGTCTTACATGCTATGTTGAACCGATTCGTCTTCAGAATTTATTTGGTATCTTCTGCATTTGTTTTGTGTATTTGTTGGTCCGGGTGGATTTGAAAAATTTTGCAGTTTTTACGAAAGAATGCTATATATTCCATTAATTATTGAATTGGACAGATTTGAATTCAAAGGATTGGATATTTTCAGTCACCAGTTCAACCCACCAAAAGAAATGACAGATTTGAATGGAAAGAATTCCATATTTTCAGACACTAGTCCAACCCGCCAAGAGAAATTACAGATTTGAATGAAAATAATTCGATATTTTCAGACAATAGTCCAACCCTCCAAGAGAAATGACAGATTCGAATGAAAAGAATTCGATATTTTCAGACACTAGTCCAACCTGCCAAGAGAAATGACAGATCGGAATGAAAAGAATTTGATATTTTCAGGCACTAGTCCAACTCACCAAGAGAAATGACAGATCTGAATTAAAAGAATTCGATATTTTCAGACACTAGTCCAACCCACCAAGAGAAATGACAGATCTGAATTAAAAGAATTCGGTATTTTCAGGTACTAGTCCAACTCACCAAAAGAAATGACAGATCAGAATGAAAAGAATTCGATATTTTCAGACACTAGTCCAACCCGCCAAGAGAAATGACAGATTCGAATGAAAAGAATTCGATATTTTCAGACACTAGTCCAACCCGCCAAGAGAAATGACAGATCGGAATGAAAAGAATTTGATATTTTCAGGCACTAGTCCAACTCACCAAGAGAAATGACAGATCTGAATTAAAAGAATTCAATATTTTCAAACACTAGTCCAACCCACCAAGAGAAATGACATATCAGAATGAAAAGAATTCGATATTTTCAGACACTAGTCCAACCCACCAAGAGAAATGACAGATCTGAATGAAAAGAATTTGATATTTTCAGGTATTAGTCCAACCCACCAAGAGAAATGATAGATTTGAATGAAAAGAATTCGATATTTTCAGACACAAGTCCAACCTACCAAGAGAACTGGCATAAGCTGATTGGACAATATGGACTGGTGTCATGTGCATCCAAATTACTGAATCTAATGAAATTCGGATCCATTTGTTATCTGAATCTGAATTATCGAACAAATTCAAAAATTGAATTCATTTCCCCATGGACCCGAACTACATCGTATCATGAGACGTCATCCGAATGAAATGAATGCATTTGTTATTTTTTTAAGCTGTTTTTTGGATTCGTTGCCATTTATTACTGTCCATTTGGAGATTCGTATACACTCACTGGCCACTTTGTTAGGTACACCTTGCTAGTGCCAAGAAAATATCCCCAACACCATTCCACCACCACCACCAGCCTGAACTGTTGATGCAAGGCAGGATGGATCCATACTTTGATGTTGTTTATGCCAAATTCTGACCCTACCATCTGAATGTCGCAGCAACCAGTCTGCCCATTCTCCTCTGACATCAACAAGGCATTTTCATCCACACAAATGCCACTTACTGGATATTTTCTCTTTCCCAGACCATTCTCTGTAAACCCTAGAGATGGTTCTGTGTTGAAATCCCAGTTGATCAGCAATTTTTTTTAAATACTCAGACCAGCCCTGTCTGGCACCAAACCATGCCATGTTCAAAGTCAATTAAATCCCCTTTCTTCCCCATTCTCAGTTTGAACTTCAGCAAGTTGTCTTCACCATGTCTAGATGACTAAATGCATTGAGTTGCTGCCATGTGATTGGCTGATTAGCAATTGAACAGGTGTACCTAATAAAGTGATTGGTGACTGTAGATCTGAATTTGCAAAAATGAAATTTTCATCCGAAAAACCGAGCAAACGAAACAAAAGGCACATGTCTATCCCATACCTGCATTGGCAGGTTTTTTGTTGGTAAAGGTGAGCTATGCCATTATGCCAACACAGCAGCTGGAGGGGGTTGCATACAGGCAATGGCAAGAAAAGTGCGATATTACCTGTCATGTTCGGTGGGCAGTAGTGCTAATTCAAGTGAAAGAGGTGCGAGGAATGCACTTGTGGCGGATGGGCTTACGGGATTAATAAAGTTGGTGAGGAGGCAATATAGCGATGCGATTCTCCAGGTGTAGGGTCAGCTTTATGGCCCGTACACATGATAAGAAAATCATACAAATATTTTCGTACAAGGACCGATCGTCCAATAATCTTATCGTTAGTACACAGCTTTCGAGAGCCGATCACGACAATTCATGAAACAACATCTGGAGGGACAAGCGGAAACATTTTTCTCGTACGATTGTTGTTGAATCAGTACCGTAGTCATACCAGGGGCGGACTGATAACTCATGAGGCCCCCGGCCAATAGGGGATCATGGGGCCCCTGTGTCCTTGCCCAAACTCAAAAAAGCCTATGAAAAAGGTACCAGGGGCATCTCATGGGGCCCCCTACTGACCCCAGGCCCTCGGGCAGTGTCTGAGTTTCCAAATGGTCAGTCCGCCCCTGAGTCATACCAAAGTACAATACATGACATCACTTTCATACAGGAATTTTCATAAGTTTAGTATATGGAGACTAGCATTCAAAAAAACAAATTGGATGATCATTTGTCTGATATTCTTATCGTGTGTATGGGCACTTGGAGCTGATCTGTGTAACAAAGCTTGAGCTGTAGTTAGAAGTGACAGGTGACAACAAACACAGGTGCTTCCCCCAACATCCCACCTCTCAGCACCGTCTATTACTGCCAATTAGCTCCAGGATAACAAGATGTCACTTTATCTGCTACAGGATTCCCCTGGTGATAGGATCGTGCTACTGGGAACTGACTGATCACTGCACAGATCATCTGAAGGAGAATACACGCAGATCTCTGCTGTCCACCTGACAGGTGACTGACAGCACGGAGCATGTGACCTGCAACCAGCCTGCTGCGCATCCACACACCGATCTGATCACATCTACAAGTTGTGTCCTATCATTGATCACACTCGGCAGGCAACATATGTCTACTGGACAACGGAGATGGTGAAGTCCCCACTGTTGTGCGGTAAGTGTTGTCACCGGTCTGACAAGCTGCATTGCGGAGGTCTATGTGATCGTTACTTTTAACGGCTCATTAGTATCATCATCGTACTTGGTGACATTATTAAGTGTGGTGTCTGCGAGCCATGGTGTGCTAGAACGTCGTCCTGGAAACTTGGAGCTGATTTTGTTCATGGGGCGCCCAGCGGCCTGGGCGTCCACTTTGATTGGTCAATTTGGACAGAGGAGCTTTGGAGGAGCGGGGTTGTCGGTGGATGTGGCCTTCCTGGCAAGTTTGCTGTGTCTGGTAAGTGGGGCTCAGTGTGCGCACTCGGCTACTAGGAGGACGACTTGGAGTGGAGGTGATGGTAAGAGCTCTATTCTCCTTACATCTGGCCTGTCAAAGTATGGGGGATGTTTAAAGACTGTAACCAATAGCAACCACCCCTGCTGCTAATCTGATTTAGTTGTAGATATATTCTGATACTGATTCCCACTTGTGTTGTAGATTGTTGCTGCTATTCTGATACAGTAGGCAGGGGCGGACTGACAACTCATGGAGCCCCCAGGCAATAGGGGATCATGGGGCCCCTGCATCCTTGCCCAACAAAGCCTATTAAAAAGGTACCAGGGGCATCTCATGGGGAACCCTGCTGACCCCGGGCCCTCAGGCAGTGCCCGAGTTTCCAAATGGTCAGTCTGCCCCTGGTTGTAGGGTTTTTCTGAAACTGATCCCCATGTGTTGTAGATTGTTTCTGCTAATCTATTTATTTATTCCAGGCACATATATACATATATATAGCGCCATCAATTTATGCAGTACTTTACATACATATATTGTATATTCACATCAGTCCCTAACCCTTAAGGGGCGTACAGATCTAAGGTCCCTAACTCACATTCATACATATATTGGGGCCAATTTAGACAGGAGCCAAATAACCTACTAGCATGTCTTTGGGGTGTGGGAGGAAGCCAGGGTACCCAGAGGAGGCCCATGCAGGCACAGGGAGAGCATGCAAGCTCTAGGCAGGTGGTGCTGTGGTTGGAATTTGAACCAATGGCCCTACTATTGCCATGCAGAGGTGCTAACCATTAACCCACTGTGCTGCCCCCAAGCTAATGTAGTTATAGGTGTATTCTGATACCGATTCCTGCTTGTGTTGTAGATTGTTGCTGCTAATCTATTTATTCTAGGTACTTATATAGTACTGTCAATTTATGCAGCACTTGACATATTCACATCAGTCCCTAACCCTAAAGGAGTGTACAATCTAAGGTCCCTAACTCACATTCATACACACACGTACATACATATAGTATATAGACAGGATCCAATTAACCTACCAGCATGTCTTTGGAGGAAACCTACACAAGAACATGCAAGCTCCAGGCAGGTAGTGCTGTGGTTGGGATTTGAACCAGCAGCCCTAGTGCTGCCATGCAGAGGTGCTAATCATTAAGCCACTGTGCTGCCCACAAGCTAATGTAGTTATAGGTGTATTCTGATAGTGATTCCTGCTTGTGTTGTAGATTGTTGCTGTTAATTGTTGTAGTTATAGGTGTATTCTGATAGTGATTCCTATACGTGTTGTAGATTGTTGCTGTTAATTGTTGTAGTTATAGGTGTATTCTGATACTGATTCCTATACTTGTTGTAGATTGTTGCTGTTAATTGATGTAGTTATAGGTGTATTCTGATACTGATTCCTATACGTGTTGTAGATTGTTGTAGATTGTTGCTGTTAATTGTTGTAGTTATAGGTGTGTTCTGATACTGATTCCTATACGTGTTGTAGATTGTTGCTGTTAATTGTTGTAGTTATAGGTGTGTTCTGATACTGATTCCTTTACGTGTTGTAGATTGTTGCTGTTAATTGATGTAGTTATAGGTGTATTCTGATACTGATACCTGATTCCTATACGTGTTGTAGATTGTTGCTGTTAATTGTGTGTAGTTATAGGTGTATTCTGATACTGATTCCTATACGTGTTGTAGATTGTGTTGTAGATTGTTGCTGTTAATTGTTGTAGTTATAGGTGTGTTCTGATACTGATTCCTATACGTGTTGTAGATTGATGCTGTTAATTGTTGTAGTTATAGGTGTATTCTGATACTGAGTCCTATACGTGTTGTAGATTGTTGCTGTTAATTGTTGTAGTTATAGGTGTGTTCTGATACTGATTCCTATACGTGTTGTAGATTGTTGCTGTTAATTGATGTAGTTATAGGTGTGTTCTGATACTGATTCCTATACGTGTTGTAGATTGTTGCTGTTAATTGATGTAGTTATAGGTGTATTCTGATACTGATTCCTATACGTGTTGTAGATTGTTGCTGTTAATTGATGTAGTTATAGGTGTGTTCTGATACTGATTCCTATATGTGTTGTAGATTGATGCTGTTAATCTGATGTAGTTATAGGTGTGTTCTGATACTGATTCCCACTTGTGTTGTGGATTGATAGCTGTAGATTGTTACTGCTAATCTAATGTAGTTATAGGGGTTTTCTGATACCGATTTCCAGTTTCCACTTGTGTTTTAGATTGTACTCTAGTTTTTTTTTTGGGGGGGGGGGGTTAATGTGTAGTTTTAAGGCTGGATCACACTTACAGGAGTTCTTGCCACATCTCTAAAAAGTGATCTGCGGTGGATGACCTTTCAGAAGGCGGTTGGGACGCGATATGTCGCCTCCTCACTTGCCTGTTTTAACCCTCAAAAGCACCACTGTGCTACAACCACATGCATTACATGCAGTTGAGGCAGGGCCCCCTGTTCATTGGCTACTGGGTATAGGTTTTGCCGCAGCACGTGTCCAACCCCCTCCAGCCACCGTGTTAAGTTCTAGTGTAACTAAACCCATGGTTTACAGTAGTGGGACTTCTGATGCGACTTGAGTTGCACAAACTCGATTGACAAAGGAAATCACATTAGATTCAATGGTGCCCATCTACATCAATACAATTCAGCATGGAGCAATTTTGGAAAAGGGTCCTGTGCTACTTTAATGTGCCGTCAGTGCGATTTTGGCCCCATAGAATATGCAAGCCACGTCCAAAAGTTGCATCATATTTCACTACATAATTGTACTGGAACTCGCATCACAGTAGTAAGAACTGAGTCTTAACGGTTTCCCAACAGTTATATCCAAGACATATCGTGAATGATAACTGTCACCATTCCTTGTGCTCTCAATCAAACTGTCAGCCTTCAAATGGCCGATGTTATAGCTATTCACATTTTCAGCACTATAGTGACTGCAGATCAGATGGCAGCTTCCTTGGCTATAAAAATAGGATGGATTAGTTCCACTTTAAGAGGGGTGGTGGTCAAGGGGTGGTGACACCTCGGCTTAACCATCTATTTTGCCCATAATTCCCCCCCTTCCCGGACATAAGCCCTTAGACTACATTTACACAGGCAGCCGGGAGGCAGTAAAATAGGCAGTTAAGCTGCCGTTTTGTCACCCAGCCACAATTTAACATGGCTACTGGCCATGTTAGTACCTGCAGATGCAGAGCTGCAAAAATGTTATCTTGTGTTATGTTTGTCAGGCATTACATCCACCAAGTGGAACCCATTGAAGTGAATAGGGCTGCTTTGAGGTGCGGTATATGCCCATTCATGCCTGCTTTGCCAGAGGAAACAAAGCATTCAGGAGGCAGTGTTACCACCTCTGGAATGCCTGACAGCCGCTGCTTAACCACTCTCAGAAAATTATTCCACTGCGGATTGCTGTTCAGTGACCAGTGAAAGTGTGAACAAGCCCTTACTGTAAATTACTGCTTGTGTGACATATAGAAAGATAGATAGACAGATAGATATACTGTACTGTGTATTATGGTTGGTGTCGTCATTGCCTCCTTCAATATTATTGAGTGTTATTATGAGCTTCATTCACACCAGCAGCCACACTGAATGCACGTCCACTGGTGTGCACTGGGAGGAACAGTGCTGATTCTGACATTTTTTTATTCGTAGAACTTTATTGAAGTGACATTACATTCAGTTCCATTCACCACAATGGTGGTTTGGGTCACACTGCACTGAAAAAAAGGACTGCATGCTGTATATATTTTTTTATTGTACACAGCAAAGCAGTGCAATAGTGGATCTGACTACATAGCAAAAATGGCAAATTGCTTCGTCTTGACATTGGGACTGCTCTGGGCAAGGCTTAGATGCGAGCGCTGCATGGCGGTTGGAGGCATTAAAAATGCAGGTTAACCTCCTGTTTTTTCCACCCCCTTTAAGTGTAAGTGTAAATGAGCCCTTAAACAGGAGGAGGGATTTTAAAAGAATAGAAACTGTGGAGTTTCACTTTAGATTTGTTTACTGCTGAGAGACTTAACTCCTTGTTACTCATACTCTCATTAGCAGATCATTGATTTTAGGGTGCTGCTAACGAGTGTGGTGCCAACTCCGAGCAAGTGCCCATGTGTGCTTTATCAGGCTGTTTTACTGGTCACTTTCTCCCAAAGCTATCTTCATCTCAAACAATCATATCCTGGTGAATTTAAAGAAAAAAAGTATATTTTCAATTGGATTGAATGCAGGGTGAACTTGATGTTTCAACAATCAGGCTTTACTCATTTGTCATTAACCCCTGGCATCCCTTTAACTTGGTTTTTATGCCCACAAGTGCCCGTGTAGGCTTTATTGGGTTGCAAGGGTTATTAACTCATTTTGTCGAGGGGAGAGAGGAGAAACTGTTTTACCTTCCTGGTCCTCCGCTCCTCTGACAGGCTGTCCCCCTTGATCCAGTGGTAGACTGTCCTCTGATCTAGTCTTGATGACTTTAGGACTCTAGACCAGTGGAGCATGGGGGTGCAGATGCGGCAGAGAGGAATGGAGGATCAGGTAAGTAAATCTACTTTTTTTTTTTTTCTCCTGGACATAAATGAGCAGTCAACCCCCACCGTGTGAGCACAGCCCCACTGCAAGAGATCATTTTCTACATGCCCGGAGTTGGACTTTAAAGTCCACTCTCATTACCACTGCACATATGTGTTATGCAGGCGGCAAGATGTTAATAAAAGCAATTGTTTATCTTTAATTATAAGCTAAATCAACCTCTTTTTCTTTCTGTCCATTAGAGAATTTAAAGTGGAAGTAAAGGCAAAAACCTAACTAACACTAAACCTACTCTCAACCACATTCTAAGCCTGATCTATCTAGCCCTGTAAATAAAAAGAATCACTATACTTACCTCTTCTGCAGCCACCCTGTTCCGGTCCCTTCCCAGGCTGAACTGTCAGTGGCGGCTTCAGTGTGTAGGAGAGGCAGCTGACAACGGAAGCCCTATAGTAACTCTATGGGTGACGTCACTTCCCAGGCATTTTTTTTTCTTTACAGGGCTAGATAGATTAGCCGTAGAATGTGGCTGAGAGTAGGTTTAGAGTGAGTTAGGTTTTCTCATTACTTCCACTTTAAGGGTTTATGCATGAGAATGTGCTAACAAAACCATTTATACAGCAACCAGGCATAATCGTTATTTCATTTTCAAACAGGACTAGGACAAAGACAATTGAAATCTGATAGGTTACCATGGACCACAAGACGTTTTCTTGTTAGCATAGTATTCATACATAAGCCCAACTATGTACTGCTGTCTCACTGGGGAAAATGTACTAAAATTGGTGCACTCAGAATCTGGGGCAGCTGTACATGGTAGCCAATCAGCTTTTAACTTCAGCTTGTTCAGTGAAGCTTTGACAGTAACACCTGGAAGCTGACTGGTTTCTATGCAGAGCTGAACCAGATTTTGCAGTCTCCAGTTTTAGTAAATAAGGATAATGTGTTGTTTATTGATCATAGTTTTGTTTTACCCAGAACATAAAGTCTTTCTAAACCCAGGACCCTGCATTTACTGTATCTGGTCTCCCACAGTACACAAAACATGAAAATGCTATTATTTTAGTAAATATAAACTGCTAAATACCTTTTCCCATCAGCAGTTAGAGCAGTCTACTGACTTCTATTAGTGTCCAGCAGAGCACTAATTAAAGCTTGTAGGTGGAGTTTTCATTCTCCCCTGATAGTCTTATGAGGAGACAGGACCCCTAAGCCTCTGTCTGGACAGTGTTGATTGGTCCTGTGCTGATCACATGCACTCTCCCAAGAAAAAAAAAAAAAGAACTCTAGCAATGCACACCAAACTGACCATGTGCAGCTTGCCCCAAGGCTCTGTTCTATCAGTAGATGATGAATTGGGGACTGTGGAAGAAGGGGCGGATCAGAGAAGACAGGATCAAACATGCTTTTTACGCAATGCAGAGGATTAACCCCTTAGGTTTCACAATGAGTATAGCAACCATGCTTTACTGAAGGATCCTGGTGACGTTACAAGGATTTTCCATGTAGAGGTAAAATAATAGACACAATACTGCAGCTCTGTAATCATTAACCAATAGCCGCCCGGCCAATAGCCGTTTGGCGGCTGGCAAAATGCTGTAGATTTCCGGGTGGACGCCATATGGCGTCCTCCCGGGCATGCGCAGTTTTCGCGCTTGCAGAGCCGTGCAGCTCTGTACCTCGGACACGGCCGATGACAGATCTGAGTACTGGCCCCCCGTTGCCGGTACCATGTGACCTGCTGTGACCAATCACAGCAGGTCACATGACAGTTGTATACAATGGATGGCTTCATTCATGCCATCCATTGTATACTAGTGTCTAGCTGTGAATGGTCACAGCGATCACATGCACGTCATGTGATTAGCTGTGGCCAAATCACAGCTAAGCACAAAAAAAACAAAACAAAAACCCTGAATGAATCGATGTCATTCAGGTAAATGCTTGCTTATAGCAAAGTAATTCTTTGCTATAAGCAAACTGTGTAAAAAAAAATACTGATCACTTTCCCAAAGTAGTACAATGTTACTATGGTAACATTGTACTACTTTGGACATAGTGAAATATGAAAAAATAATCTTAAAAAAAAGAAAAAAAAAATGTAATAGAAAATTAAAAATAATAAAAAAAAAATATATATATATATATATTTATATATATATATATATTTTTTTTTTTTTTTCATACTGTCACCAGTCAGTGTCCCTGATCACCGCCATGCCAGTTATATGCTGATGCTGTACTGCACTGGTGACAGTATGTAAAAAAAAAAATAGTGAAAATAATTTTAATTTTTTCATTTTCCGAAAAATTATGACAACAAAAATACAACTTCAAAAAACTCGCCATGCCCCTTATGAAGTACGTCGGACTGTCTGCTTTGCAAAAAGGGGTCATTTGGGGGATATCTGTACTGTTCTGACATTCTTGGACCTCAAGAAATTAGATTGGCTGTCAGTACTTCAGGATTGATCAATATTCAGATCTATACCATAGTTTGTGAACTCTATAACTTTCCTACAAACTAAATAATACATCCTAATTTGGGTTATTTTCACCAAAGACATGTAGCAGAATACATCTTGGCCTAAATTTATGAAGAACAATTATTTATTTGCAAACTTTTATAACAGAAACAAAGAAAAATGAGGTTTTTTTCAAACTTTTCGGTCTTTTTTTGTTAATTTAGCAAAAAATAAAAACCCCGGCAGTGATTAAATACCACCAAAAGAAAGCTCTAGTTGTGTGAAGAAAATGATAACATTTTAGTTTGGGTACAACTTTGTATGAGCGCGCAATTGTCATTCAAATTGTGAGAGCGCTGAAACCTGAAAAATGGCCTGGGCAGGAAGAGGGTAAAAGTGCCCAGTATGGAAATTGTTAAAGTGCTACCAAATATACAACAATAAAATCAGTCTGTATATGCAGTAAAGCATGCTTGTTATACTCACTGTGGAACCTAAGGGGTTAATCCTCCGCATTGTGTAAAACGGCTGTTTGATCCTGTCTTTTCTTATCCTCCCCTTCTTTTACTGTCCCCAATTCATCTGCCATAGTTCAGAGCAGCAGTGGCAAGTCTGCACATTGGTGTGTATGGCTAGAGATGTTATTTTGGGGGAGGGGGGTGCATGTGATCAGCACAGGGCCAACCAGTGCTGTCTGGACAGAGGGTCAGGGGTCATGCAGCCTCATAGGACAGTCATTAACAGGAGATTAACCAGTGCTTGGCTGGACACCGATAGAAGTCACAAGTCATATACTGCTGATGAGAAAAGGCATTTAGCAGTTTATATTTACTAAAATAATTGCATTTCCATGTGTACCGTGGAAAACCAAATATAGTGAATGCAGAATCATAGGTTTAGTAACACTTTAATATATAGTTAAAGTGATACTAAGCACACACTGTTTAATTCACATGGATGATGGCACTGTAATTATTTTAAAAAAAAAAAATCTAAGTACCCTTTTTCCTAATTGATACTGTAACATGACCCAGCTCTTTCCTAGGCTATTTGGAGGGAAACAGTGTCAGGATGAGCTTCTAGTCCTCTGCTACTGGTCACATGTTGAAAATAAAAAAAACAGCCTTTGGGATACAGTGTAAACATTTTTGGCAGTAACATGGTGTGGGCAGATTTCTGCCAATCACAGGCTGTTTCACCCCCCCCCCCCCCCCCAGCCTAGAATAACAGGGAGGTCAAACCACCATTAATCAAGCTGTAATAACTCACCCCTGTTGTGTTTAGCTGGTTAGTGGGCATGGAGGAGGAGGAAGGGAGTGGGCTGACATTTACCACTGTGTATACTGTGGCTGCTCAGATGTGATAGGGAGGAAATGCTCAAGGTAGAAAATACACTGAAAACTGAGCATGTGCACTAGCTGCTAACACTGCTCTGTAAAATCCCCAGTTGCAGTGGGGACATGGACATAAGGGGGAGACAGAGAACAGCAGGATCATCCAGGTTTTTTACAGAATACAGAAAACAAATCCCATAGTTGCTGAGTGAGTATTGACAGCATGTAACACAACATTTATTCATAGTTTTTAAAGTGATTCTAAAGGTTTAATTTTTTTTTACAAAAAATAAAAAACATGTCTATACTTACCTGCTGTATGTAGCGGTTTTGCACAGAACAACCTGGATCCTTCTCTTCTTGGGTCCCCCACTGGCGCTCCTCCTCCCTTTCGGGTCCCCCACAGCAAGCAGTTTGCTATGGGGGCACCCGAGCATGCGCACTCCCCAGCCATTGCTCCATGTGTCCATGCTCCGCCCCCTCTCTCTTCTCATTGGCTCACTGGCTGTGATTGACACATCGCTGGATCGGAAGGGGGCTTAGGTGAGTATTAGGGAGGGCTGGGGAGGATGCTGCACAAAGAAAGTTTTTTTAGGTAAAAAAATCTTTAGCCTTTACAACCACTTTAACCACTTGCCTAAAGGGTACTTATACCCCCTTCCTGCCCAGGCCAATTTTCAGCTTTCAGTACTGTCACACTTTGAATGACAATTGCGCGGTCATGCAACACTATACCCATATGAAATTTTTATCATTTTTTTAAGACAGCTTTCTTTTGGTGGTATTTAATCACCTCTGCGTTTTTAATTTTTTAATAAATTTTTTTCTCAGTTTTTGTTATAACATTTTGTAAATAAGTGATTTTTCTCCTTCACTGATGTGCGCTAATGAGGCTGCTGTGATGGGCACTGATAGGCTGCACTGGTGGGCACTGATAGGTGTAACTGATGAGCACGGATGAGGAGGCACTGGTAGGTGGCACTGATGGGTATTGACAGGCATCACTGATGGGCACTGAAAGGCAGCACTCATATATGGCACTGATAGGCGGCACTGACTGGCACTGATAGGCGACACTGACTGGCACTGTTAGGTGGCACTGACTGGCACTGTTAGGCAGCACTGATGGGCACTGATAGGCGGCACTGACTGACACTGATAGGCGGCACTGACTGGCACTGATAGGCAGCACTGATTGGCAGCACTGATAGGTGGCACTGACTGGAACTGATAGGTGCCACTGACTGGCACTGATAGGTGCCACTGAAAACAGCTCAGATGGGCACTGATATGTGGCATTGATGTGGCACTGATGGGCACTGGCAGGTGGCATTGATGAGCACTGACAGCTGGCATTGATGGACACTGACAGGTGGCACTGCTGGGGTACACTGATTTTCAGGGCACACTGATCATCAGTGCCCTGATGACCTGTGATCCACAGGAGAAGTACAGCCAAAAGAGCTTTGGTTGTACTTCGTCTTTAATGACACTTTAAATACATTTTCATTTAGGCAGTGAAAGTGTACCTAACTGTGACCCGGTATCAGCATCTTGTAGCCCTGTACAGCAGAGCGGAAGTGTGTGAGGATGAAGCAGTACAAGGACCAATCACTTCTTTTGCTGAAAAGAGGCATGCTGAAAGGAGGAGAAAGCAGGGTCATTGAGAGATAAGCTCCTCACTGTGCTGCTTCTCCTTTCATTGTCTAATCTCATGCTGGGATGAGTTCAGGAAGTTCAGGGAATGAGTTGAATGATGCTGGCCATCAGGCTCAGGACATGAAGTAGAAGGAAATCTTTGGTGTGAACGTAAAGAATGCAGCAATTCAGGTTTTATTATTTTGTCTTTTTATCGGCTATTCTAATCTTTTTTCTGTGGGGTTTGCTTTAAATTTTAACACTTTTGTGCACACTATTGTTGGTGGCATAATGAGTTATATTTATGAGTTATATAAAGCTGGACCTCAGCTTCAAGGACAACCAGTCTCAGTTTAATGTAGGGAGGAATATGAATGTCCTGTAATTATTTTAAAAGTAAGATCCAGAGAGTGGGAGATAAACACCTTCTAACCTCCTGGGAGATCACAAAGTGGCAGTGGGTCATTTGGTCTCTTGGCAGAACTATAGCAGCTGAGAGCCACACATATAGAGCCCCAAGATTCCCACCGTAATGCAGGCCTACTTCCAGTGCCAGGTTACATTCCTGCTTTGACAAGGTGTCCTGCTGGTGGCTTTCCACAGGCTCTCTCCCTGTGGAAATGTCCGCTGTTGTGCTGTCCTCCGCATATGGCTAGGCCCAGCATATAAAGAACTTGTGCTTTCATCAGCAGAGCCTCCTGCTTTGTCCAGTCCTTCTATATTCTCACTGCTTTATTCCTGACTCAGTATTAGCAAGAGCAGCTCAAGCTTATGCTGGCTGCTGTCTATTTCTCAGCAGGAGACACAGTGATCTTTCTACTCCTGCTGATGAGTATTAGTGAAACCTGCATTGTGCAGAATCCATTCTCTAAGCTTCATCGATGCACGCTTCCTAACTCGCTGCCATTGCACTGCTGTGAGCTTCATGTTTCTCCACTACACTAACATGCTATTACTTTTCTATCACTGCTCCAACAAGCATGACCCCACTCTCTAAAACAGCACAAATATGCACAATGCAATTTTCCTGCACTGCATTATCATATACACTTTACCAAAGCATACCACTGTACTTGCCATCACTGCACCAATGTGCACTTTCTCAGTCATTGCCACTTCACCAAGGCTCATCAAATACTCATAAAATTACTGCGCTGTTCATTGATTCGGTCCCAGATTGGCATTTGATGTCACTTCCGGTTCCCATGCAGCCACGCCCGATGTGTTTTGTTGTTCCAACTTCATCTAATAGGATGACAGCCAGTGCACACCCATTGCTAAGCCATGCGTTTCGTCAGCAAAGGACTTTGTCAAGGTGGTGGCTTAGCGGTGTTATTCCTTGCATTTATCCGACAGTCTTGTCTTATACGGTGTCACATGGAGCTGCAGGGAGGGGAGCCCCCCTTGACAAAGTCCTATGCTGATGAAATGCATCAGAGCATGACTTAGCAGTGGTTGTGTGTTGGCTGTCATCCTACTTGACGAAGTTGGAAGGAGGAAACGCGTGTTTGTCGCCCAAAAGAAGGTGCTCACTGGCTTTTGGACCCCTGTATGTGGCTAGGCTGCCAAAAAAGTCTCACACATGTGTCCATGTATTCAGGAGAAGTAACAGAATGGGTTTTGGGATGTAATGCCATGTATACCCATGGCATGTGTGGGAAATATCACATTAAAGTGACAACTTTGTGTAAAAAACAAAATATATTTTTTGGAATTTCCCAAAAAACTTGTGGCAAATGTTAAAATCTTCCATGGACTCAGCATTCCTTTTAGTAAATACCTTGGGGTAGATACTTTCCAAAAAGGGGTCATTTGTGGTCGGTTTGAACTGTCCTGGCATTTTAGGGCCTATAAAAACATTACGTGTATGGAGTAAAACATTAGGAATTTCTGCCACATTGTAGGCTGAACAAAAAAAAAAAGAACTTAACAGATTCTCCCATTCACATCATCAATGTGGATGAAGAAATCTCTGCCAGAAATAGTGTATGCACAACATCAAAAGCTTCCACCACACATCCACCCATGCTTCTAATGTTGGTCATACATATAATGTTCTTTTTTTCATTCAGCCTGTGGGCTGAACCAAAAGAGAACATAAGGGATTCCTCCATTCACAGCAATAGATGTGGATGAAGAAATCTCTTCCAGAAAAATGTAAAAAAAAGTGTATGCCAAGCATAGGAGCTACCGCTACCTGACCACCCTACGCTCCTAATGCTGGACATTCACATTCTTTTTTGTTAACTGCATATGCAGAAATCTCCCCCTACAGCGCTGCAGGCACTGACATGTATTCTGAGACCAGCACTCTGCTGCTATCAGAACACACAGATCAGTGCTCCAGTTGATTGGCTTTCCTGCAAAGCAAACAAAAACCGTTAACATTAACACACTGTAACAATATAATGTTGAAGTGTCACTAAGCCCAGGATCCCTGCATTCACTATATCTGGTCTCCCACAATACACACTACATGGAAATGAAATTATTTTAGTAAATATAAACTGCTAAATACCTTTTCTCATCAGCAGTTAGAGCAATCTTGTGACTTCTATCGTTGTCCACTGGTTTGAGTTTTCATTCTGCAGAACCCCTGACCTCTCTCTGGAGACAGTGCTGATTAGCCCTGTGCTGATTTCATGCGCTGTCCCAAGAAAACAAAAACGTCTCTAGCAATACACACCAAACTGAGCATGTGCAGAGTGACCCCACACCATATGTTATACCAGGAGACAAGAGGGGGATACTGGAAGAAGGGGAGGATCAGAGTCAGAATCAAACAGCATTTTTACACAATGCAGAGGATTAACCCCTTAGGTTCCACAGTGAGTATAACGAGCATGTGTAACATACCTGGTGGTAGAACCTGAAGTGCAGGGGAAGGCCTCTCTTGCAGCTCTGGCTCAGGGCCCTGGCAAAGTAACAGGGAGCTCCGGAGCACAGAGGTGCACAAGTGACTGGTAAGAATTGTGTGGATGGATGTTGACGTGCGTCAGGAATGCAGGAACAGCTGTTGGATGGCACACAGGCAGAAGTGCAGGAGCAGCTGGCAGATGGCACTCTGGCAGAAGTGCAGGAACGGCTTGACAGATGACACTCTGGCAGAGATGCAGGAGCAGACTGGCAGGAGCAGGATACTGGCAAGGATAAGCTGGCTCAGGTTCGGGAGCAGAGTAAGGCAAGGTCAGGCGGTCCAGATCGGCAACTAGCAGTCAGAGTAAGTATAAACAGCAGGCAGAAGAATAGTCAAACGGCAGGCCAGGAGTCGGTACAGGCAGCGTTCCAGCAGGGTCAGCAACAGAATCACAGGTAACAAGATGCATGGGTGCTCAAAAGTATTAGACCAAACGGCACTAATGCAAGGCACTAGCCCAGCTTAAATAGCCCACCTGGTGCCATGAACACTTGCATGCACCTGTGTGCGTGATCGCTCACGCGCATTTGCTAATCGGCCAGGAGCAGGGCTAATGGGTCCTCCGCCTGCACATAGATATGTGCATTCCCTGACATAGCCTTCTTCTTACAGGCAGCCTCCGGATGCCCAACTGGGCACATTTCTCAGGATGCCTGCAGAAAAATGCTTGAATTAATTATTTGGCATGAACATTAGTCTCTGGTTCCCAAGAGTTCTCTTCTGCCCCATACCCCTTCCACTTAATCAAGTATTGTATCTGGTTTCTTCTTTTCCTGCAGTCCAGGATGGTCTCCACCTCATATTCCTCCTCTCCATCAACGATTACTGGTTCTGGGGGACATGTATTGCGACCTGGAAAAGGATCAGGGATCATGGGTTTCAGCAAGGAGACATGAAATACAGGATGAACCTTTAAAGAGTCAGGCAGTGCAAGTTCATAAGAGACATCATTGATTTTTTTCTTGACAGGGAAAGGTCCCATGAACTTAGGTCCCAACTTCTTCATCAGGCATGCCAACCTTAGATTGGCTGTGGATAACCAGACCCGTTCTCCAGGTTCCAGAATTAATTCAGCCCTTCGTCTTCTGTCAAAGACCCTTTTATTATCCTTCTGTGCTTTGGCTATAATTTTTTGCAGGATCCTATTGTTCTGCTGGAAAAAATTCAGTGTGTCTTGGACAGCTGGAATTGCAGATAGTGGTAGCTCATTGGAAATAAATGATGGGTGATATCCATAATTTGCAAAAAATGGGGATTGCTTAGTTGCTGAGTGAATGGCATTATTGTAGGCAAACTGAGCCAAGGGCAATAAGGATACCCAATCATCCTGAGAGAAAGATGTGAAGCAGTAGATATATTGTTCCAGTGTTTGATTTGTTCTCTCTGTCTGCCCATTGGTCTGTGGGTGATATGCAGATGAGAATGAAAGTGCAATTTCTAGGGTCTCGCAGTGCGCCTTCCAAAATCTGGATGTGAACTGGACCACTCGATCTGATACGATATTGATAGGAGTACCATGTAGTCGCACTCATCTCCTTAACAAAAACCCTTGCTGTTTCCAATGCAGAGGGTGTACCCTTCATGGGCAGAGAATGGGCCATCTTGGAAGCGGTCAGCCCACCACAAAAATAGTAGAGTATCCCTCAGAGGATGGAAGTTCCATGATAAAATCCATAGCAGTCATCTTCCATGGCCTATCAGGGATCGGAAGGCGCCTGAGCAAACCTCACGCCTTGTTTCTACTGCTCTTGCTACAAGTACACTTGACACAGGAATTCACATATGACTGACAATCCTTGGCTAGGTCAGGCCACCAGAACAGGCGTTGAACCAAATCAGTGGTCTTGTGGATTCCAA